CATAAATTCGATCGAATTTTTACTTTGCAGTTTCAAAAGAGCTGACAGAAGCACATAAACCTGAAGAGGAGCATCTGATTTCTGCTGAAGAAGCATCAGAGAATGAGCTGGCAGAAAAAGATAAGCTTGGGGAGGAAGAAAAAAAGATCTATGGAAAGAGGATTAAAGAGAAAGTGAAGGTTTCTGCTGAGAATAAAATAAAAAAAAAGAGAATCAAAAGACTAAAGAAAAACTTTTTGTCTGATAAAAATTTGAAGTTTTTCAACGCTGTTGAGCACGTACCAGTGTAACACCTATTTCGAATCGTTTCATAATTCGGGGCCATAACCCGAAGTTCAGTTATCATAAGGCATCAGACCTTGGGGGAAAGAGAGATTTAGACCCCTTTGGATGTGGGCAATGTAGATTAGGTGATCCGAGAGTTCGCTTGGGGCTTAGGAGCCCAAGGGTATAACCGTAAAGTGATAGTTCGATCCTTTTATGAATTTTGGATTTAAGTTCATAAAGTTTTAAGGCAAAGGAGAGTTGATATGATTGTAGAGCTTCTCATTACCTTTCTGTGGATATAAGGATCGCCGAAATCGGAGTTGAAACGAAAAAGTTATGATCGTTTGAAGTTAGGGCGGTTTTGGTTTAAACCGTGTACGCTAGGCATACTCAACATGTACGTTGGGCGTACTAGGCATACCTGGATTACGCTAGGTGTACACAATCAGTTCCCAAACCCTATTTTTGTGGTTTGAGCCCTATTTAAGCTCCTTAACTCCTCCAAACTCATTCCATTCTCAGCCTCCACCTCTCCAACACCCTCCCTTGAAACCCTAACCCTAGTTTGAGCCTTGTGAGCAAAAGAAGGTGTTCTTAAGTGCTTTGGAGTGTTCTTGGTGCATCTTAGAGAAGAAGGAGTTCATTAGATAAGTGTTGGTTCCACTACATTCAAAAGTTTTTTAAACTTATGGTTACTAATATGTAATGCCTTATTATACACATTGTAGCTATATTAGTAGTATATAAGTAAGTTTTGATTAAAATATCATATGTTTGAAAAGATTTGTGATTCAAAATGAAAAGTTGAAAAAAAAGTTTTATCGCATCAATGGTTAGTTCATTAGATAAGTGTTGGTTCCACTACTTTCAAAAGTTTTTTAAACTTATGGTTACTAATATGTAATGCCTTATTATACACATTATAGCTATATTAGTAGTATATAAGTAAGTTTTGATTAAAATATCATATGTTTGAAAAGATTTGTGATTCAAAATGAAAAATTGAAAAAAAAAGTTTTATCGCATCAATGGTTATTTCAACACGGATTTTTTATAACAATGTTTTTATATAGCAAATATATGTTGATTTTTTATATTCATTTTGAATGATTTATAAGTGTTTAATAAGTTTTGTTTGATGTAAATGTTATAGTAGATGTTGTAGTGTTTTTATTTTATTAAAAGCTATAGTGTTTTTTCCATACTATTTGTTATTTGTTTTATATACAAATCGGCATACGTTTTATATATAATTTCCACAACTTAAAACGTTTTATAAAATCATCAAAAATTATAATATTTATTTTTTTCATACTACTTTGTATTTGTCATAGATAGAAATCAATATATATTTAATATATAATTTACACAACATAAAACAAGCTATAAAATTATGAATTAATAGTAGAAATAACTAATGATATAAATTTATTACAATTAATAAAACTAATATGTTAACTATATAGTTTGTTTTGCTACTGACATTGGTTTTTCATATATAAATATTAAATCACAATTTGTTAAATATTGTTATTTTAATTAAATAATTATATCCATGCACAACGCACGAGGATTCGACTACTATATCAATATTACCATACAATTTGTTTTCACATGACTTCCGGATATACACATCTACAATAATTAAATTACAAAAACTTAATTATTTCATCACCCGGAGAAAGATATCTATAAAACTATTCTCCAAAGCATAGGATTTTTTTTCTAATAATTAAACATTTATTCATACCTATTTGAAATATTTTATCTGCACTCTTTTAGTTTTTCATTTTTATTTTTAATCACACATCATATCTGATATTGTATTATTTTTTATCAATTATATAGTTATGAATAATAACAAAATAAGTTTTCATTTCAATGCTATTTATTGAATGATCAATTGAAAATTAATAATTAATATAACATATTCCATCGAAGATACTTTTAAATTGCTTTTGTACACAAAACATTTTAATGTTCCATGTTATGCTCTTAAATGCTTGAGAAAAATGTATGATCAAATCTTGTATACATTGAATATTTAAAGTATAGTTGTTTTACATAAATATGTGATTGTTTGTGTGGAAATAAATATGGTTTTCATGTGATTATTTATCATATACAACAACAACATATTCATATTCTAAAAATCTCATTAAAATAAAGTAGAGAGAGATAGATAAATGTCGACGGTATGCCTTCAATAAGGTAGAGGAATTGTGTCACACAAAAGATCTACATGCACAAACATAGAGCATGTCACAAAGGAAAACATGAATAAATAATACTATAAACATATCCATCCGAAAACCTACAATTAAGGTAACAATTAGAGCAACTTAAATATGCGTAGTAAAAAAAACGTATATTGAATAAATCAGGATATAATCATAACAACAAGAAACATGTATCCACAATACATATTAGAAAATCAAAACATACAAGGGGTACACAAGACCGGTCCAAGACGATTTGAGGCCCGGGGCAAAATAAAATATGAGGCCCTTCACAATGAATTTTTTTGGTAAAAAAGTGTGACACCTCGCAAAAATTTTATTAATTAAAAAAATTAATACAGTTAAACTTCTTTATGCATTTAACTTCATTATGTGCAATTCGTTTCAAAATCTACAATTAGTACAATTAACAAATCTAGTTTGCACCTGCAAGTCCGTAAGAGATATACATACAACATGGACGATGACTTGCAAATTGTTCGGTACAAAAAGTTCCTAAGCATTTGATTGAATTATAGAACCCAAATTAACAAAATAGTGGTAATATGTAAAACCAACATTAGGGCATTTTAGCAATAATACTAATACTAAAGGAAGAAAAAGAATTGCATAGATTTTACAACATACCTTGTTTTACTCTGGTGACTGGTATCTTCTTGAACCCATGTTGGATGATGATGTTAGACCAAACAACAGGATTCATTCATAACAAAAACAATAACAACGTTAACTGTAAATGTGTGAAACTCTAAACACAGTCAATTCACGCCAAACATAATATATCAATAACAATAAGAAAACGAATATTACAAAACTTATGGTTTCAAATCGATAGATAGAAGACGTATAGACGGCATACCCATAAACTCTGATACTCTATCAAATAACTCAATTAACTCTGATAAATCCATTAATATGGCTTCAAAACACCCTAAAGTGAATACTTAGGTGCTGTTTGTTTTTTCTGAGGCAAAATGTCTGCAGTCTGCGGACCACATCTGTAGACCTCTGCAGCAGAAGAGGTGGATCAAACGTCTGCAGTCTGAAAAAAGAAGACTGTTTGTTTTTTTAACATCTGCAGGCTACTAAAATAAACTAAAATCTAAATAAACTGATTTTTTTAAACTACAAAATGATTTTTTTTATATATTTATGACTTTGTTATAAATAATAAACAAATCTAAATCAACTTTTAGTATTATTGTATAAAAAGTGAAAATAAAAATGGTACAAATTAACGTACATATTTGAAAAAAACCAACAATTTTGGTTGTAAAGTTATACCTAAACATTGTAATTAGGAATCAAAGAATTTGATATATAAATGAATGGAAATAAATTTTGATTTTTTCAATTAAATCAATTAAAAACGTGCCATAAATATTTTTTCTAAGAAATTGACGATACTTTATTAAATAATGTTTTATAAAATTTGGCACAAAAAATATAAGAATATATATATATATATATATATATATATATATATATATATATATATATATATATATTTTCATATTTACATAAACAACTTCAACGACCATTATTGTAATAAACTTTTATTTATAAATTTGTCAAAAATATCATGTTAATCATCGTTGAACTTTTTTTTTTAGGTATTGTAACTTTTTTTTTCAAATTGTTTATCACTAATAAAGTTGGAATAAATATAAATTCAAAAAAAGTAAAATAAATAAATAAAGTATATGTGTTTTTTTAAGCTAGAAGATGCATGAAGATGTTAGAAGACTCTGGTCCACATCTGCGCCAAGAAGAGGGCGTGCAGACATTTTTAGGTCTGCAGTCTTCAAAAAAACAAACAGTCTGCTAAGATGAATGTCTGCGCGTGGTCTGCGCTGTGCAGACAGAAGAGGCCAGGAAGATCTGCGGATAAAAAACAAACACCACCTTAAAGTAAAACGATCATTAATTTAATGTAAAGAAAGATCGGACAATCGAACTTCAGAAATCAAAATACAAAAATCGATTTCTGATTTGAACAATCGAAATTAATAGGTATGATTACATTAAAAACGACCTGACCATACTTGGAAGGAGTTGAAATGTCGATTTCAGAAATCACTTGAAGATTGTTGGCATGGGATATGTGTCTCCTCGTCTTCTCTTTTATGCTCCAGGGTATTAGACTTCAAAATAATTAAAAACAGAGAAAAAGTTTGGGAGAACGCATCAAACCACAAATACGAGCAAAAAAAATCACTGATAGTTGTTGGGCCCTTTAGTGTTATGAGTAAAATATTAAAAAAAACAATATGGTGTACTTGTTGGGCCTTAGCTTTATTAGAAAAAAAAATACAGCAAAAAAAGAAAAAAAAATTTACATGCTAGTTGGTAGATGCAAGGCTCGATCTCCGGACGCCTAATACAAACACCACTACGCTTCTACCATACCAACTACAGGAGCCTTCGATCTTTTTAAGGCATAATATATTTTATATCATCTAAAAACTTTATATACTAATTGATATTCAGAGGGGCCCGACCTTTGCCGAGGCCCGGGGCGATCGCCCAGCTTGCCTCACCCCCTAGGGCCGGCCCTCCGTACATGTTACTTATCAAACAAGAAATGACATAAATAAACTTATAACATCATTAATTTTTGATGTTATGTATACATGATGAAATTGCAAATCTTTATTCTTGGATGATCAATCCTTATTCGAAGATAACCAGATATTACATAGATCTCATACATCTAAAAACGAGGATCATTCTATTATAGTATTGAGCTCAAATAAGAGGGGCAACATGGGACGGGGCTATTGTCGGGGAACTATCAACCATAAATTTCACGGGCACCATGGGTCCAGGTGCGCCAACATAACCCGCACTCCTTATCTCGCTCATCCGTCTTCTCTTGCTATCTCCTTGTGCTTGACATAAGCTTGGTAAATATACACCTTTACATATAATAAACATAAATACAAATTTGATCGAATATTGTCAATAGTAATGGTGCTAGAACTTTTCTTAAACTATATTTGAGTGTTATTGTTTTTTGTTGAATGTAGAAACACCGACCTACTATAATGAGAAAGTCTTGAAACCAAGACTTTGCTCGTCAAGTCTTAATTTCCGATCATTTTTTTTTTTTTTTTTGTTTATTTCCCAATTATGTCATGATTTCCTCAAATATTTTTAAACATAATTTATGTAGACAACATTTTTTATAACACTTAACTGAAAAACCAATAAAGAGAGTGTTACCTTCACCGGCAGCAAGATTGAAGTATAGATCAACAATATTCGGACAACCATTGTAACATTGAGTTGAGCAAAGTTTTTGCATGAACCAAGATTCAAGAAGGGAGTCGGAGGAGATCCCTAGGATGTTACGGTCAAGCCCACATGCATCTAGGCATTCATCAGTTTCTATCCAACTTGCTAACTTATTAGTATCTATTTGTGAGGTACTGCAAACAAACACCTCCTCCCCGCTCCTTCGGACATTCTTCTCAAGCACACATCGCTTTCCACTTGATGATACGGCAAATGCACATGAGTCCTTGTTCAAATTCTCACATGCAATGCTTCCTACATACAAATTTTCATACTTTATTTACTATTCATATCATAAACGATGGTGTTTATATGAAAATTAAACCTCTACAAAATATATTGTATTTACTACAAAATATATTGTATTTACCTAGTGTGACTTGAACCGAGAAAGTGAAGATAGCTATATAGACCAAAAAACTTTTGACAAAATTCAGAAAATCCATGGATATAAGAATTTTGTGAACTAGATAAAAGCTACGAATTCCTAGCGAATACTTATGATAAAAAGAAATTTATACAATTTTCTGAACTGATAATGGTTGAGTTTGAGTGTTCCTATGGTATCTATTTTTATTACTAAGCCTTACTTTAGGCTCCACCATTTATGGCGAATTAATCTGCCTTCATACCTTAATTTCTTGGTGCTTGTGGAAATTATTTAACTAAAAAGAGACTTTTGTTTATCTTTGATTTTTAGTTGAGTTAACAAAAAATTGCAAGAAAACAACTAAAATTTGTTTTTATTAGTTTACCATACAGCTTATCTCTAACCTTGGAATTTTCTTATTTATTATTATTATTATTATTATTATTATTATTATTATTGTATTCAATTTTTCACATTTCATAAATCATTTGTTTTAAAAGATTGGATTATTATTCAAATACTAAAACTTTTATGGACCCAAAACCACATGTTCTAATTATATATTTCGACTTGTTGAACATGTTTAATCCATCCATTTTACCATTTTTAATGTAATATTGGACATCATTGCATTTGTATATTCTCTTTTGTCGTATAAAAATTGGACAAACGTATTATATAATGTATATTATTGTTATAGAGAAATAAATACGTATTAGATAAATCACTACAAGAAAATTTCGATTTAACTATGGAAAAATTCCGTAGCAAAAAGCTAAAATTCCGTAGCTAAACCTAAATAACTACGGAAGTTGCTACGGAATTTGCCAATGAGATTTCATAGTAAGATTTATTGTAGCAAAATGTTTAACTACGAAATTATAGTTCCGTAGCAATTTTGCTACGGCCGTTGCTACGACGTCTGTCCATAACATTTCAACTACAACGCACTTCCATCACAATTCTGTAACAATGAATTCTGTAGCAAATTCCGTATCTATTTTGTTCCGTAGCAAATTCCGTAGCCATTTGGTCCAAAGCAAATTCCGTAGCAAGTTCCGTAGCCATTCGTTCCGTAACAAATTCCATAGCCATTTGTTCGGTAGCAAATTCCGTAGCCATTTGGTTCGTAGCAAATTCTGTAGCTATTTGTTATGTAGCAAATTCCATAGCCATTTGGTTCGTAGCAAATTCTGTAGCTATTTGTTCCGTAGCAAATTCTGTAGCCATTAGTTTCATTGCAATTGTTTCCATAACAATAGGTTCAGGTGCAAATTTAGTATGATAAAAATATTCAACAAAATCCAATATTCCAATTATAATATTCATAAAAATATATAAAAATGTACTAAATATAAATTTAATGGTTACATCAGTTTTATAGATATATTACATCATCGAAAATTCTTCTACAAGGTTGTCTAACCATCAATATTGAATATTAATAACAAATACAGTCACACAGTTTAGATTTGAACCACCATGAACACACAGACAACCACATATGCTCAATCAAAATGGCAAAACCTGCAAAATCAAATTTACAATCAACTTGATTAAAATTCTATATGTTGTACAAAATCCCAATTTGTTTTGCTTTTCGTTGTTTTATTTTAACCTGATGAAGATGAAAGAAATAGAACATAACTTTTTGTTTCCAAAACTAACAAACCATTAATAAACTTGTTTACTTATTATACACATATTTATTTAGTTTTTTGTTAACTTACTTAGCCAAAATAAGATTATAACTTTTTCAATTAAGAAATGGCACAAGTTATCAACGGGAAAGTGGTTCACTTTTTCAATTTCCTCATCAAGAATCCTCTGTTTCAAAACAACTAAAAGCAAATTTAGATAAATTTATAAATAATAATCATATTTTTAAGTAATGGGAAGAAAATTGATTCTTATTAGTTCTTACTCTTATGTTATCTTAGAACTGAGATGAAAGTTTCTTCGAGTAACTATCACGAAGCACAAAGCAATGAAAGTACGTTTCTATTTCTTGCATTTAAAAGGAGTACAAAGAAATACCTTTAAGCATTACAGGATTAAGCTACTAACAACTCCTGAAAGAATCGTCTTTTTCCTCTGTGAAAAAAGAAGCAGGAATGTAGCGAGAGAATGTCCACAACTCTTTCTGAGGTATAACCACGATGTCTTCAAATAACTGCTGAAAAAAAAAAGTTGAAACAAAGAAAAAAAATAAGCTTTATCTCAACAAAAGAAAAACAAAGAAAGAGTTGAAGCAGTTCATGCCGTTAATTCATATTGCATACATAAAGACTATTTGAGTATGATAAATGACCATTTTACCCTTCACCAACTTACCACATTATAACATAGATCAAAGGAATGGTAGGAAGGGAAAAAGGGGTGTCTAGATGCTATATAGGGTACTTTGCTCGCTTAACCCATTAAGACATTTCATCCATCAAGTAAATATTGTTTTATACATAAAGACTGTTTGAATATGATAAATGACCATTTTGCCCGTCGTTGACTTTACTCATCAAGATTCAAGACCAATAAAGACATTATAATATTGTGAAGAAGAAGGAAATAAAATCATGAAAATGAAAGACTTTGGAGAAAAAAAGACCAAAAGGGTATCAGGAAGCATTCATTTCGTAAAGAAATGTGTATAAGTGTTAAAACACCCTGTATGTGAATGAAGTACAAGTTGTGAAGCAGCCCTTCCATGCAAATAACTTTCATGTTCTGTTCTGAATATAACATTCTCAGCCATAGAATCCCAGTTGCCCAGAAACTAACAGAAAACAATACAAATCCAGTTGGACAAATGAAATAACCATTTTGATTTCAGTGAAGGTTGGTTTGGTTGACAAGAACATCCATTTTTTGGTCAAAGTTCTCTACTGCTGACCAACCATGACTGACATGTAGACAAGCTTTAATGGTAAGTTATTAGCTTATCATTTCAAGGTGATAAATACTTCAAAGTAAAAAAGGAAAAATTTTCAATTACATGGTAATCTTAAGTGTATCTTTTAAAAACATCGATTATTTCAACTCTCCAGATAAGAAGATTTAAACATTTTGTTTTCCGCATCTCTTCTCTTGTCTTTATTTAAATATAATACACCATTTTTAGTTTGACCATTGTTAGTATTCTCTATATTTTGTTTCTTATGGAGCTTTTCATGATATCCCAGGCCTATTCTTTATTAACTGTTAGGATGACCTGTAAAGAAAGTAAAAAAAACAGTATGCTCCTAGTCATTCTCTTGTCCATATGTTACATTTTCCATAAAAAAAACTTTGATTTAATAAACCTATTAGTATTTGGTATCTCATGACTTACTATACAACAGTTATGTTGTCTATAAACAGAAACATTTTAAGCATATATACACTCAGAATCAAATACAAAATCAACAAAATTACCCCAAAATAGTCAAAAGGAAACTGTTACAAACCATCAAGCAAAAAAGAAGTGAAATTATCGGCTAATAAATACAATATTAATGCTAAAGTCTCCAATAAATCAACAAACATTATAAAATTGATCAAATCATATTTACCAGCCCTAAAACGAACAAAAACTTGTCACTAACTAACAAACAAGTTGATGCATAATGTTAATGCTATAATTCAATATATAACGATAATATAAAGGCCATAAAGAAACTTATTAGATCATGTCAGATTGATTAATCACTGCATCAAAATCCACAATTCGCATCAAATGCAATAAAATCGATCAATCAAATTCACCAATAAAAATTTGAATCAAACTGCGTGTATGGATTGATAGAGTTAACAGAACATTGACTCGCCTCGGATTCAATGGAGAGATCAATAGATCCTTTAGGTCATTAGATGATAGAAAGAGAAAATCGAGCAAACAGAATAGAGAATAATGTTACCTGTACGGATGAAGACGATCGAGAAAAATCTACCGATTGACGGAGCAGGCGGTGGACGACAAAGCAAACGAGAGTGAGAAGAGCTCCCTATAGAGTGAAGTCCGATCGATAATGACGTACGTGGAGGAGATCATGGGAAACTGAGGAACGAGGAATGAGGAATTAAGTTGAGAGAGGGAGAGATGCGATCAGCGACAAGTCATGCCATTGATAATTTTCAGCAGTTTGATCGGGATACCTCTAATTTTCCATCAAAGGTAGTGTTTGCAGAATTTTTCATCAAAGGCAGCAAAAAACTCATTCAGAGCAGCATATGGCTTGCGACCTAACTAAGTGACTTGCAAACCGGCGTGATGCGGGTACTGAGATGCGATCAACAACTGACGTGATGGGGAGGCTCAGCAACGGCGACAAGTTGAAAGGGGGAGAGATGCTAAAATGTGATCGGCGACAGGGCAAGGTTTGAACGGGATACCTCTGGTTTGGGATTTGGGTTAAGTGGATTTACTAATTTGCCCTTAATAAATCACTGAAACAACGTTATGGCTCAAGTAATTCATTAAATACATTGAGTTTCTAAACATGTTTCCATTCTTTTTTTTTTTAACAAAAAGACCAAAATAAAACTAGTTAATTCTTTTTTTTTTTTTAAGAAACAGACGGTGAAGGCTGAGGTTAAATAAAATTTGATTTAGGAGTAATAATTTCCAAAGCCTCAAAACATGGGGATAATATTATTATAAGAAAATTAGCAAATGTATGTCATCAAAGTCTAAAAATTGCAACTAAAATGTAGAAATTATATTATAATGAAAATTTCAAAACAATTAAAAATAATATTTTCTTATTTTTGTTGAGTTTTCAAAGATAATTGAGTATTTTTTAATATATATATTTTTAAATAATCTTCTATATTTTGCTACGGAAACATATTTCGTAACTACTTGACTACAGAATTTTCCATAGTCAAATACCTACGGATTTTAACTTCGTAGCTATTATGCAAATTCATCTCTTCGTAACAAGTTCCATAGTATATTAGCTACAAATTTTTTTATTTTGTAGTAAATTTTCTTAGCAAAATAGCTACGGATCTCAATTCCATAGCTAACTAGCTACGTATTTTATTGCGTAGCCAAGTATGTAGCCAACTAGCTACATACATGGATTTTGTAATAAGTTCCGTAGAGAACTAACTACAACCAAAAAACTTGTAGCAGTATTTGTAGTAAACTACCTACGGATTTTAATTTCGTAGCAACTATTCAAGATTTAGCTATGGAATGCAATTTCGTAGCCATTTCCGTAGCAAACTAGTTACAACCAACCATTTTGTAGCATATTTCGTAGTAAAATAACTATGAATTTAGATTCCGTAACAACTTTACGTAGCTATTTAAGATTTAGCTACATAATACAATTCCGTAACCATTTATGTAGCAAAATAGGTACGACAAGTCGTTCCGTAGCATATTCCGTAGTAAAATAGCAACGGATTTTGATTCCATAACAACTTTCCGTAGCTATTTAGGATTTTTCTTGTAGTGAATTTTTATAATAAATTAGAATTAGAAAATGTTGATTACGAGAAATCTACTCGATTTGCTTTGTCAATTGGTCTTCGTAGACTGTTAATTTGTGGAGCATAGCCAATTATTATTCCACACGTTTGTAAGGTAGTGATGGGCCGTATCCCTTGGCTCATCCGTCTTAATTGATTTGTATGGTGAAACTCAAACTAAAGTTGGAAATTATAGTATTACATTAGCAAATCATTTTTTTTTTTTTGAAGATTGTGTGGTTGTTTGATTTTATGAAATAAAAAATACTTCATAATTTAAATTCTTTTATGATTAATCTTTATATTATTATTTCCTCTGATTTTAAATCATATTTTTTATTTTATTAACATATTATATTTGATTTAAAGTTTTAATATGTTGTTGTATGCGACAATTGTCAGTTTTAAGAAACAATATTTAAATTGTTAATTTGTAAAATTAATAATTTATGCATTTTATACAAACTATTTAAAGGTTGTGACTTAAAACTGACAATGATCGCATATAACAACATATTCAAACTATAAGTTAAGTATAATATGTTAATAAAATAACATATATGATTTAAAATAAGAAAAAATAATAAAACAAAGATTAATCGTAAAATAATTTAAATTAATTTTTTTATCATCAAATCAAAATGTCACATAATAATAGAGAAAAATTGGTTTGTAATGTGTATGAAAAGTTGGAAAAGAAAAGTTAAGTAAAATTTGTAAAAGTTTTTTTATTTAAAGTTGGAAAAATATGTTATAATCCATTACAAAAAGTCTAAAAAAGGTAGTAGGAAGATAAATTTGAAAAAACAAAACTAAATTTGTGGAGAATTAGTAACAAAAATTTAAATTCGGATCAAATTTGTAAAAAAAATTTAAAATCTAGTCGAAAAATATAAAATTTAAAAGAGTGGTACCTGAGATTGCAAGTAACCATACAGAAAACATGAGTTGGTTACCATTGTAAAATATAAAATCCGTTAGTTGTTAATTTTAAGACACGTTTTGAAAAGTTTGTTTTTAAAAAACAGTGATAACCCTATTGATTATTTGTCCCTCCGGGGACATCCGATAAAATTGGAACGATACAGAGAAGATTAGCATGACTCCTGTGCAAGGATAACACGCACAAATCGAGAAATGGTCCAAATTTTTCCATACAAAAAGGCTTAACGGCACAATTTATTGTCCGTTTGTCTTCTCATTCGTATGTCTTCGCAATTTATTGTCCGTTTGTCTTCGCAATTTATTGTCCGTTTGTCTGCACATAGTTACCACTCTAGGTAATGTATAGTGAGAAGACTCACCTCGGCTAGCAGGTGAGCAAATAACCTCGCGCTCGGATCTCAAACTAGCCTCCTCCTAACACAAAGGATGAATATGTCTTATTAATACTCTTTTCACGACTCAGATAATCGAAGGCGGTTCTTTCTCTTTCTAACTCTTTAAAGTGGGTAAAAGACCATTTTACCCCTCCAAGGTCTCTATCATATATGTTGACCAAAACCCCAAAGTCAACAGAAGTCAAACTCGAGTCAACAGTCCAAGTTTGACCCGACTCGTCGAGTGCACTCCTGCGACTCGTCGAGTCCCCTA